TTTGTTTATTTTTTCTATTGTTTCTCTTGCCCGGTCAGATGTGGTGTTTGAAAAGATGTTGCTAAGACCGATGTCGAAGAGCGTACTGCCTATGTTTTCTGTTCACCATTAATTGTTAAACTCATGCATCAAGTTGTAGCAATTGCATAAATGGGGTATTGTGTTCCCTGGGTGTGAATGTGCAACCACAAGACAGGCTGTAAAGAGATAAAAGCTGGTTTTCACAAGCCTTGCACAGAAATGGAGGTGTTGGTCTCAGGGCCCCCCCGGCCTAGATTGTGATCACTATCGGTGTGGCATGCAGGTGGGGCTGGAAGGACCCTGTGTCCTGCCCACAGCGCAAACACATCCCGTTTCCTGTTAGATTTGTGGCTTGGCCGCTCTTTGAAGGGCCCGCCATTGCTCATGAGCCTCCTCTCAGAGTAGCTTCTGTTCTGAAAGACGGCTTCCCTCCAGCCCTGGGTCTCCTCCCTCAGAGCTGCACTTCACACCAGGATGACAAGTGATTTCCTCTGAGTATTTAAAGCTATTATTCGACTTAGCCTTGGGCTCTGGTTTTGCCAGCGTCCCCTCTTCAGATAAGCGAGTTGATAGCTGCAGGGAATCTCATCCTCTCTGCACCTTGCTGACAGTCCTGGTAAGCCCAACTGGCCGACTATTCAGCATCCACATGGGGTGAGCTCCTGGTACCTGTCAGGGCTCTAACTGCCTGGATCTTGGCAATGCCACAGTGGGCACGCTCCAGTCAAGTGCACTTTCATCCTGTCGAGGACTTGAATGCTATTTCCCCTCCTCCATCCTTACCCTAGTAGCCTGAAGATCCCTTGTACTCTCTTCCTCCTCCGAGCCAGTGCTAAGCAGCCCTGCCTCCTCTCTGCAGGACTCTGCCCAAACCCTCCTAGTATAAGGTGCCTCCCCAGGAAAGTGCTCGTGGCCTCCAAAAACTTACCTCAAGTCTCTCTGTCCAACAGGCACTTCCAAAGAGGGAGACAGTACAACTGTCTGCCCCCGCCTGTCACACGAGCTAGGTGTGTGACCTGGGTCAAGCCCCTGGACTTACCATGTCTCAGGTTCCTGGGTCTGGAATATGTGGGTAATAAGGTCTCTCTCTGCTTTAAGAGAGTATAACTCTAATTTAATAAATGCTTCCACTACATAAGAGACATACATGATGTATTTCTTTATACATCTTAGAGAGCCGGTTGTTCACTGATTCCCTGAAATGGACTCCGCAGTTTAAGGACATTGAAGTCACAGAAGTGAATGATGTTATTCTATCAATCAAAGTTATTTATTGGTCCTAGTTGGAAATGTTTGCACTTAAATTTTAAAATATGCACATTAATTAACTGGCATCTGAAGACCTAATACTTGTGCTGGGTATTGAGTGACCTTGTGAGAGAGGAAAGAGAATTCTTCTTCTGCTCCTGGATGGAAAGTAAGATAAAGAAGGTAGGTACAAAGTAATTTGACATAAAAAAAAATATAGATAGATGTAGAAGTTCATTTTGAGTGACCCATAACTTATAAAACAGGTGGGAATCTATGATGAGAATGAGGGACAGGAATCGTAAAGTAAGTGAAAAAGATGGCAAGAGATATTTCAAAAATAAAGGCTCTAAACCAACGGTTCATTAATGTATTTTAAAGCATATTTTTAATATACGTATTTAACACATTTAATACAAAATACATTTAATGTATTTTAAAGCATACATCATAAAAGAGAAAAGCAAAATCACTCCGTGTTAGAGACTATGATGACAGCAACAAAATTTCTCCTAACCATATATTTTCATATATAAAGCGTAAGTTAGTAATTAAATGCTCTTACTTTCTTTGGCCATCAAAGTAGCACACAAAATTGTAAGCTCTACAAAAATTAAATCACTTTCTTACACTGAAAATCTCATTTTTTGATTTCCAGTAATATCTACTACAGCTGTTTTAAACAGTCTCTGCTTTAAACTTTTCTGGAATATTCATGCTGCATCCATATATTCTAACCAGCCTTCCAAACTCACCCAACTCTTTCCTTTCTCTTTAAGGCTGATGTTTCTCACTCACTCAGTGGTTTCCCATGGACAGCCATGACCGCTGAGGCCATCAGGAAGGCCCACAGGGCTGGGCCTACTTTAGGGAGACAGATATACGTCTTCCAACATCAAAAGTTGCACATGTCTAGTGAAGAAATGTCTTCACCCTACTGACATGCTTCTCTTGTGTGCTTCTCTATATGCAAATGTCCTCAAGTCAAAACTGCCTTCCCCTCCGGATCTCTTTCCCTTTCTGCTCTCTGGCTTCCATTTTAGTCCACTGCTAAAGAACTGATCTAAGCAATAATTAATAATAATAACAATAATAGTAATAGCAACACTTACAGAGTGTTAAGTCTGTGCCAAGAACTGTTGTAAGTACTTATTTATACTTACTTATTCAGTCCCCCTGTGAAGTAGCTGCAATTATTATAAATTCTAATTTTACAGATAAGGAAACTGAGGCACAGACGGGTTAGAAAATGTTCCAGAGGTCACGGGAGTAAGTAGCAAACCCAGGATAGGAGCTCAAGCCTCTTGGCTGCACAGCTCATCCTCTGAGCCACCAAACCATGCTGTCCCGCTCTAAGGGCATTTTATAAATACGTAATTTTTTTAAAAAATCAAGCAAGTAACGTTATTTTTTGATGTTTAATGGCTAATATGATCTGGAATTCATCCTGTACACAAACATTTATGTAAAATCAACAAATGTTTTAGACCATTTTTGAAAGACCAAGAAAATTATTTGAATTAAAATTTGTGTTTCTCGTAAAAGACAAAAAGTTGTTTTGGGTTCCTTTTAAGAAGTTCCCGCAAACAGGCCCAATTAAGCAAGCTCCGTGCAGCACCTTGGTGGGGTTCCAAGAACCGTGGGCCTGCAGCTGTGACCCAGATACAGTAAACACATCCTGAGGCCAAGGTCCTGTGACAGCAGCCTCACACCTCACTCCCCTGCTCTGCGCGCATCCCTGCCAGCCCTCTCCCACGTCCCAGGCACGGTCTGGGGTGTGTCGAGGTAGGTAGCTATTACGGGAGAGTGAAGGCACCATTCCAGTTACTGTGTCACCTACTGGCTCATAGAAAATGCCACTTCATGAACTTAAAGCCCTTTAGTTCAATAATTAGCATTAAAATCTCTTAAAAATGCACCCTTGTTGTAATGCGAGAGTTATTTTGCACTGTGCCCAGCCTCAGGGTTTTGAGTAAGCGTATTGAGTATGGGCACCTGCACCCACTTATGGAAGAGGGAGAAACAGAAGATCCATTTCTTTTGAATTCCAGGGTCTTCTGGCAGCACATGACCACAGCTCAGTGTTTAGTCGTATCCCTGGCAACCTCACGACAAGCGTCATCTTCAAACTGTGAGTAGGATTTTCACAGAGTAGAGTTAAATATTTTGAATAAGGCCATTTGTTGTAAACAGGCTCATAGACTCAATCCCCAGAGTGTCAAGAGTTCTTTCTTACACTCCGCTCTTCTGAAGATCAGGACTGTGAAAGAACAGGCAAGACTTCTGACTCGTCTCTGCATGGCTTGACTGCTTTTGCAGGCATCAGATAAAGTAGATTTTTCCAGAACCTTGAGTTATAAGACAGAGATTTCTCAGCCTTCCATTTCAGAACTCTGTGGGATTTCAAAAGCCTTAGTGATTGGGGCAAGAATGTGAAGTCAGTGACAGGTGTAAATTCAATTAAGATTACTTTAATTTTCCTTTCCACTAGTGCTTCGTGGAGTCCACTTTCGAGTTCGTACCTGACTTCATTAGACATATAACTTTTACTTAGGACAATGATTAGTCTCCGGCTTTTCTGTATCAATGAATGGATTTCATCAACAACAGCTGCAAATGCAAGATATGGAGTATTAATTTAAGAGAACTGAAAGGGTGGGCATGAGATAAAATCATTTTGCACAGTCCTATTGTGTTATTTAACTCAAGTTCACTAATAAGTTTTTTAAGACAGACCATTTATTCTCAATTTTATATGCCTATTAAAACAAGCAATCATCTACACAAAAACAATAATGAATACCTACTTAGCAATTACTCTGTGCCACAACTTCTTCTAAATATTTTATGTATATTAACTCATTTAATCATCATAAGGAAGAAAGTATTGTTATCACTCCCATTTTACAAATGAGGACGCCAAAGCATAGAGTAGTTAAGTAACTTGCCCAGAGTCACACAGCTGGTAAATGGCAAAACCAGGATCTGAACCCAAGTGGGCTGGTTCTGGAGTATACGTTCCTCACCGTTACACTATCGTGCCTCTCCACAGCACGGAGGAGCATTCGAAAAGCAGAATTGAAAGATTAAAAAACGTCCCGCCGTTCCTCTAGCCCAGAAGTTGACAAACTTTTTCGTAAAGAGCCAATATTTCAGGCTTTGTGGGTCATACTGCCGTTGTCACAACTATTCGTCTTTGCTGTTGCAGCTCAAATGCAACCACCGACAACACAAACAGATGAGCGTGGCTGTGTTTCAGTAAGGGTGGCAGGCTGCATCCGAACCATGGGTGGTAGATTGCCAACCTCTGTTCTAGACTTCTAACGCTTCTCAAATAGAGGTTTTAGCCAAAACTAATTACCACTGAATATACATTCTTTATTTTTACTTAAGAACTAAGAAAAAATCCATTGTCGAAATGACTCCTAGAAAATGTCGGAAATATAATAAAATTGGTATAAAGCCATTTCTGCCCAAGCAGAAATGCTTTCTAAGTGACATGTATTCTTAGACACAAAGAACTGACACACAAAAATATCACAATGTTGTATGCATCTGACAATTTGGCATATTATTCCTTTGAGAAGTTATTTATTATTAAACAGTAGTATATTTTCTCTTTCTAATTTGAAGTATTTTCCCTTTCTAATTTGTAATATAGGAGGAAACAAACACAATTGTTTCTTATTTACTGCTATATTTTCAATGCCCAGCTCAGAATTTGGCACAAGGATGGAACTCTTACGTAAATGTTAGATAAGTGAATGCATGATGGTAGCAATGCAGACATTTGTATTGCATCATTTCTAATGTATCAGCATCCAAAATAATTTGACACTAGATTTCAAATGTTTGCTCTGGAAGACTTCAGAGAATACACGGAAATGTTACTAAATTGCTTTGATTCTAACTGTAATTTGCTTCAATATATGTGTTATGGTCATTTGTATTCCCATATTAATAAAAATATTGAATTCATAACTAAAATATGGTATGAACCCACCAATATCCTTTCATGGATCCTTTTCCAACTCTCCTATTTTCTACTTTAATTTTCTCACCAATGGCAACACAATAAAGAACAGGCATTTTCTGATAAGAATTAACAGTGTTTATAATCCAAAGGATCACGTATTATATTAGAAACTGGTTCTGTTGTACAACACATTATCAAAAAAGGTATTCTTACTTACTGTGGGGCATTTCTAGATAAATGCCTCATGGTAATGTCAGTTCTGGACCCAGTTCTGAAAATGGAATGCCCGCTCCCTCTCCCCAAAGGTTCAGAGAACTGTGACCGGGTCCTAGACAGGCCACTATCGGAAGCAGCATCATTGGCTTGCTTTCTCACTAGTGATTATACCGATCGTGCTGGTTATTTCTGGGTTAGAGGACCATGTTCATTTGTTTATTTTCAAGCAAAACAGGATAGCCTTTTGTAAGGCTAAGCTATACATCCTTTAAAAAAAAGTCTCTCCATTAGCTTTCTATCTGATATCATTCCCTTTCTTACCTCCTCCAGGTACTACGTCCCTTTCAAATATGCATAACTTATATCCATAATGTTTCTCCAACACCCTGGGCAAAATCTCCACAGCAAAGGTGTGCTCCTCTCCATTCTCAGGTCGACATTCTTTTAGGTAAGACACAAAAGCATCATATGTTTTTCCATCTAGGAGATAAGGTTTACTCTTTTAATTAGTGTGTAAATAAAAGTTTAAGTACAAATTTAAGTGAAAGTCATGAATAATGGGAATAGAATCACTGAAAAGAAAAGTTAAATATAGCCTCCTCGTGTCCAAGCTCATCAAATTGTACATATTAAATATGTGCTGTTCTTTGTATATCAATTATACCTCAATTAACCTGTTAAAAAAAAAGAATAAAGAGAACATTTTTGATAGAAGGTAAATTAAAAAATAAAACAAGAATGTTTAAACTAGGTAATTCCCAAGGTCCCTCAAATATTCTTTGGTTTTACAATTCTTTTTTACTCATTATTCTTCATCTCTGATTTTTTAGGGGTCAGAAACAAGGAATAAACTCAATTTTTATTAAAGATAAAAAATAGCATCCTCAAACCTTATATGCTAATCAAGCAACAAATTAGCAAAATTTTTTTAAGCGTGTACATTGACTCCCAAAGTACATTGACTCCCATTTGACACCATAGAGAAGTAAAGAGAAATACAGGATATAGATCAGGGAACTAAAGGAATTTAAAGACAACAGAAGACTGAGGAGCCCTAATATGCCCTCGTTTCAGGATTGGAAAGCGCATCTCTCCTTGGCTTACTCTACTGGTATCACTTAATTCTACACCATCACAATGTCTACCCTCGCAATGACCCCCTGGGAAGTGAAGATAAAATCAAAGCTTAGCATTTACACTGGAAAGTGGGAAGAAATAATAGAGACAAATGAAACAATCTGCTATAGGAACACGAGCTATGATATTTAAAAATAGTATATGATATTAGCTGCCAACACGAAAACTTCTGGTCTCTTGAAAAGTTTTCTTGAAGAGTTTTTGTTGATGCTAACATCTGCCCCTATTTAATTCCTGATAATGAAGCAGTATTCAGATGGCTGAAGGGACAAATTCCAGAGGAATGTGTTACCCATCAAAGACCATTCTAGCAACTGGGTAACTAAATAATTATATATATTTCCCTCTTCTACCTTCATCCAATCTGTTTGAGAAGACAAAGCTGACAAATGCAACAACTTGAAAAACTTGACAAAGATGCAACACCTGCAGAAGCAAGACAGTGTAACACGCAAGAAACTGACAAACAAAATCACCTGATGGGAGAATAAGGAGTGATCTCAATGGACACACTTTTTGAAAGAAGGAAATTTTGAGTCAGGTCCCAAATAAATTGATGCTAATTGGGATTGGCAGAGAAAGAAGGGGAAGTGGGAGGAGAATGGTCTATCCTTATCCCAGGAAAATGGTTAGATGGCAGAGGAGTTAGATTTGTGCTTGGGTCTATCATTGGGATTAATGAATTTGCTATTGAGTTGAAGACCAAATATTATCAGGTCCTTTATTAGAATCTGACAGGATGAAACCATTTTAGGTCCAGGTTCTTTGTGGTGCCACATCATTTATGCTCAACAGCCCAGCCGATATCTTCAACAGCACCCAGGCTCACAAAACAACACTTTCTGCTTCTGGCAAAAGCTCTTTCAGGTCTACCTACAGCATTCTAGTTCAGCCTTTTGAGTCAGAATCTATTGTTGATGTAAAGCAAGTGCTTTGCAGAATTGCAAGCATATGAAAGATAGGACATTCTGGTAAAAATTGCAGAATTTACATGCATATCAAAGGTAGGAGAAGCTGGTAGAAATAGAGCCAGTTCTTAGTTTAATCAGTAAGTGGGTCCCCTTGATAATTCTATTAGATTGCTGTGAAATACAGCTATTTATTAGCATAAGTAAGAGCTAGTGTTTCCATTAGTGTAGTCACTATGTCAGTGGTTAAAACAGGCACCAAGACGCAAAAAATAAATAAGTACACTTTTTTAAAAAGTACATTTTTCTTATAATCAGGATGTAACTAATTGCAATAAACTGGGAAGATAATTCAGTCAACTTTATACTGCGAAACACATGTGATATATAGCTTTACTCTTACCCAGGAAAAAATAGTTTTTCAACTATTAATTAGCTTTCAAATTCCTTATTTCAAGCAATTCTCTTCTTGGTTTAGCAAATCTGTCAATTTGTATTATAATTTATTTTAAACCCAGGTCATGAAAGGTAGGTGGCTTTGATAAATGATAAAGTAAAGTGCTCCTGGTAAGGAATTTGAAAGCTAATGATAATTATTTTGGTTCTGGATAAATGAAACCATCTGGATCTTTGGGACAACAAGGAGTCAGTTAGACCAGTGCTTCTCAAACTGTGTGGTGAATGACCATGTTTTAATTTAATTTCAGTTTTTTTGACTGATTGGTTTCTTTCATTTCCAGTCCTTCATAAATCAATACTGAACACATTCTTGGATATTGCAGCAATATCAAATTTCTACAAAATTTTTAATTTTTGTACTTATATCTCCATTTCTGTCTTTTTCACAACTGGCCTCTATCCATGGGCCACACTATAAGTAAGGCTGATTTAGAGCACATCTCTAAATGTCTCTATGGACTGCCACTTTGAGAGCTAAGAAATGTGAATTGGGTCAAACACAATTGAAGAGGAAAAATATCTTAGTTAAAAATCAGAAAGAGAGCTATTAGTGAATGCCCATCCTGAGATATATACTGGTCTATGCAAGTAGAGACCCGTTCATCAAATATCAGAAACACACCTTCCAGTTTGTTGCAGCATCTCTCTCCATAGCAAAATCGCACACATGTGCAGCCTCAAAGCCAAATTAACTTTTTGTTAATTTTATTTTTGTAAATTAGTAAATATGAATAATGAATCTATAAAAACCTCAAAGGAAAAATATGAGAATCCCTTTATAACTTGAGATTAAGAGGGCCTTTCTACTTATGACCACAAATCCAGAAACCATAAAAGAAAGGATAAATTTGAGTACATTAAAAAATCTTCCACATAACACACTACTATAAGCAAAGTCAAAAGATAAATTACAACCTGGGAACAATATTTACATTTCATACCATACACCATAGGCTAACCTCCTTAAAATGTAAATAACTCCTAGAAATAAACAAGAAAAAAAAAGGCAAACTATCCAATAGGAAAATTGGGAAAGGATATGGGTACTTTGAGAAAGGAAACACAAATGAGTCTTAAACAAATGAAAAGGTGCTCCTTTTCTTGCATAGGAAGTGAAATGCAAATGAAAACTACACTGAGATAAAGCCTTTTACCTATCAGATTGGCAAATATCCAAAATTTTGTGGGTAAGGCTATGGGAAAAAAAGTTACTCCCATCCTTTGAAGATGGTAGGTAGTACAGTAGTGTGGAGGGCAAATTGGCAATGTTTTATTGCCAAAATCACAACTGCATCTACTCCTTGTATTTCCAGCACTTGCGCTTTGGGGAATTTTTCCTTCGGTTACGCTGCACACATATGAAACAAAGCCTGTACAAAGTTCTCCATCACATCGCTTCTGTATAACAAAGGGTTGTAAACCACACAAGCGTTCATCAAAAGGTGACTAAATAAACAGTGGTACATCCTTAGAAATAAAATACTGTGCAACTCTAAAGAAATGAGAGACTTTATAAACTGATATGGGGGAGTATCCAAGCCATAGTACAGCAAAGTTCAGAATAGTGTGCATACTACACCAAGATTTGTTTTTTAAACAGGAGTAGAATAAGAGTCTATATTCATATTTGTTTGGACATGCTGTCCACGGGGGATGACGTGGGAAACACAGACATGGGATAGGCTGGCAGGGAGAATTTCTACTGTATCATTTCTTAGACTTTTCGTGTTTTGAACTATGTGTGTCCTACACACACACACACACACACACGCACACGAAAACAAAAGCAAGTGCAATTGAGTAAACTGATTTTTTTAAATTCAGTAATTATCTTGAAACTTGAGGACTTCTAGTCACCTTTAAAACTGAGACATAGAGTCACCAGATAGAAATAGAAGTAGACGAAAACTGGCACATCTAGAGGATTAGAACCCAGGTCACGTGGCTTCTAGGTCAGGGTTCTTGCAGGCACACCATGCAGCCTCCTTTGCCAGGTTAAAGTAATGAACCATAAAACAGTTCATTCAATTAAAATGACCTTTATTGAGTATGCACACTGTACAAGGTGCCCAGATGGTGTGTGAGAAATAACATTCAGATACACAGTCCCTGGGCTCAGGCATCTCACAGGGCATTTAAGAGGACATGGCGTGCATGCATGAAACAATTAGAGAACAGCTTTTGGCAACATTTAAATGAGAACAAGAAAACGTGACACAGACAAGATTCATAACGGATGATACGTTCAGATCAATGTTTCCTATGGGAAACCTTTACCACATATTACGTCAACAATATAATCAAAATGAGATGAAGATTAATGATTCTTTATTTGGTTTCTTAATGAAACCATACGATAAGAAATTCTAGCATTATGACATTCATTACCTGTTAATGTTTCATCTCTTCCCATGAAATGTCTATAAAATAGAGCCAAGTCAACTCTGTAAATGACACCCATGGTCACTACGCACACAGCTACCACCGAGATCAAAACAGCTATGACCATTCCTCTAGTGAAGACGTGGCCTGGGATATCAACCATATCTTCTAGAAAGAAAAAGAAAATGGGAATAATTAATCAAAGAAATTTTACCAGTGTCTTCCACCATCCACACTGCAGTTGTCAGTTTTTACCTACACACTAATCCAGTTGTCTACCCAACACGTTCCATTGAGTTACTCCACGTTCCTGCCTTTACTCTGGAGTAGTCATCCTTCTACTCCAATTTTTAAAGAATAAAAATGTGTACACGGATATTCAGAGACTTGAATGCAAAGCATTGTAATGTAGTCTGCCCCTACCTGTGGAAGTCAGAGCTCTAGGATGATAAGATACTCAGGTAAAATAGAGAGGGACTCAAACATAAATCTGAGGAGCGGGTTGAGAGCATAAATAGAGGCGCGTAGTCTTGAGAGAGCAAGCACTGGACTGAAACCGTCTGGGCTTGCAACCTGGCTCCATCACTTATGTTGTGTCCTAGGAAAATCACTGACGCCCTTAACTCTTAGTGTCTTCATCTGTAATATGAAGCTAATAATAGTTTCTGCTTCACTTATAGGTTGCTGTTTAGGAGGAAGATTAAATGAGATATTACACAAAAGTAGTTGACATAGTGCCTGGCACACAGCTCTGAGAATTTTAGCATATTTTTTGTATAAAAGTGTCCTTTGGGGAAAAAAATTACGTTTCCTAGATTGATTCAGTTTATGCTCATTATGGCCAATATGAGATCATACAGAGGCATATAAAGGACAATATATATTTATTTTTTTGCAGGGAAAGATTCGTCCTATGCTAACATCTGTTGCCAAGCTTCCTCTTTTTTTTTCCCCTCCCTAAAGCCCCAGTACATGGCTGTATATCCTAGCTGTAAGTCATTCTAGTTCTTCCATGTGAGCCGCTGCCACAGCGTGGCAACTGACAGACGGCGGTGTGGTTCCACGACCAGGAAGTGAACCTGGGCTGCCGAAGTGGTGAGCACCGAACTTTAACCACTAGGCCATCAGGGCTGGCTCAAGGATAAAGTAATTTTTAACAACCATCCCACAATATGGTAATGGCCACTGCTAACACGCTAGTATATTTCCTTCTGGGTTTTCTTTTTTCCCTGAAAAATATTTACTTAATTGGGATCATATGGTAATCATTCTTTATTGCTTAACATTATATTACAAGCATTTCAGTAGGTCTTTAAAATTATAATTCATAATATCCCAATATTTAGATTGGTTGCAATTTTTCATAAATATACGTAATGCTACAACGAATATAAACGTAAACCTTTATCCACGTTTCTGATTATTTTCCTAGAGTAGATTCTAATGGTGGGCGGATTTCTAGGTCAAAGAGTATAAATATGCATAAAGCTCTTGCCATCTTAGCACAATTTTTGGGAATGATCTTTCCAGTAAAATTAACTATTAGGATGTAAGTAAGCAACCATAGTTTCTTAATAAGTGAACTTGGAATAAAGCCAGGCCTGGGAGTTACTGGTCCTTTGCAGGATCTACATATCCGTGACTGTGACCCACAAACACACAAACACACACTCTCACACTGGTGCACACACTCCTCCAGGGATAATGGTGGAGTGGAGACCCTATTCCCCAGCCAACATTTGTGAGCAAAGCAGGAGGAGAAACGATCAGGGGAGAAACTTCTATAGCAAGGAGAGGACAGCCATGTACTGATCTAAGAGGGAGACGCAGCTGATGGCCAGCAGTCATCAGAAAATCCAGGCAAGGCAGGGGATCAAACAACAACAAAAACAGATTTGAAAGCCTCCCCCTCACAGGTGCATGGACCAAGGCATGTCCATTCACACAAGGTGCGGGGACACCTGTGACGATTCCTGCAGAAGATAAGAGCACAGATTTCAGAGTTAATCAGGTCTGAGTTTTGATATCTTTACTTGTTTGTGATGTGGGGTGAGCTTCTTCACCTATAAAAGCTTGTTGTAAAGATCAGGTTAAATAAGGGTAAGAGCTTAGCACAGAACCTATCATATAATAAACATACAAAGAATGTTAGCTATTATCATTATTGCATGATAGCCTTAGAACAGGTGTTCTAGGTGAGCTGCAAATGGTAAGCAGGATAACACACCTAGAGAGGGTAGCTTCTGGCCTTAGGGCCTCTCTCTCCCACTCCTTCAGTTTCTAACCAAAGCCACACAGTGCTCTCTTTCTCTCTTTCTCTCTACCTCTCTCACTCTCTCTCTCTCTGTCTCCCATCTCTTTGTGTCTGTCTCTGTCTCTCTCTGTCCCTCTGTCTCTGTGTGTGTCTCTGTCTCATCTTTTTCTGTCTCTATGTGTATCTGTCTCATCTCTGTCTCTCTGTCTCTGTATATCTCTCTGTCTCTCTCTCTCAGATCCTAACCTTTCCCTACATATCCAGGGAGTTGATGGCCCAGCCTGAGAATGAGTAGTAACAACTGGAAAGCATAGCTTTTTGGCCCCAGACACGGGCACCTCTGAGCAGCTACTGAGCCAATAGCTCAGGGTTGTATTGTTTTGTTGGAGGATGGTGCTGAGTGACTCTGGAATGCTCCACCAGGTAGGCACTGAAAAACTAAAAGTCTGTTGATCAGAACCATCTGCTTTCCACTCGCCAAGTCCAGGAACTGGCCCAAGGAAGGGAGGCCTCTGTTAATCCCTTTTTTTTTTTTTATAATTGTATTTATTTATTTATTTTTCCCCCAAAGCCCCAGTAGATAGTTGTATGTCATAGCTGCACATCCTTCTAGTTGCTGTATGTGGGACGCGGCCTCAGCACGGCCGGAGAAGCGGTGCGTCAGTGCGCCCGGGATCCGAACCTGGGCTGCCAGCAGCGGAGCGCACGCACTTAACCGCTAAGCCACGGGGCCGGCCTGCCTCTGTTAATCTTTGTTGAAGGAACGGTCACACCCACGGGCCCCCTGTGCCCAGTGCCCAGCTAATGGAGCCTGGAGGCAGCAATTACTCCCAGTATCATTGGTCTCATCCTACACTGAGCCGCAGACTTTCCTCTGGTTGTTCTAGATGCGCCAGAGCTGCCCTCACTGCCTCCCCCACAGCCCTCACCCACCAGCATCTGTGTCCCTGAGATCCACCTGCCTCCCTGCTCTGGGGCCCTGGATTCTACATAGGATTGGAATACGATTGAGAGCAAAGGAAGAAACTTTGTGCTTTCATTCTCCGCTTGGAATCAGGGCACAGGGGATTCCAGCAAGAGCTGAACACCCTTCTGCCACTGAATGCCTGTGCCACAAGGTGAACCACTTCCCCTGTCAGGAGCTTGCTTCCTGGTGTAAATGAGGAAGTGAGGATCTTCAGGGGGTCTCTCAGCAGCAACACTCTAAGTTTCCACAAAATTCCAAAAATAAAAGTTTCTCACACCTTTTTTCACCAAGATGAAGGTTTTGGTGTCTGTGCCTCCCTCGCTGGCCACAGTGCAATTATATGAAAAATTTAGATTTTTTTCATTAATATTCTCAATTCTCAAAATTCTTGAAGCATAACTTTTGCCTTCTGAAGTCCTGCAAGAGAGGAAAACACTTTAGTGGTAGGCTTTGTTCATAGCCAGCAGTGTTGACCACGAGAGAGGAATTCATATGTGCAAATTCTCAAAGGCAGTGGTTCTGCGGGCTCCATCGGATCATCCCTTTCTGATGGGTGCTCAAAGTGTGGGCCACAGGGAACCTCCGACTCCTCTGGGGAGCATCAGGGTCCACAGAAGTGGCCCTCCTGAGACCATCTGGGGACACTGCTGCAAACTGTCTATAATTAAAATGCCTGGAAGGTAACGACGCTAAGTTGAAAGTACAAGAAAACATTCCCTCTCTCGATTATTTTTCCCGATTTCTCCTCTCCTAACTACTCAGCGTTTCTCCCACGGTGAGGTCGCCACCAATTATGACAAGGCTGCAAATTGTGCAGCCTAGATACAGATTCATATCAAGTTTGTCCATGCCATCCTAAAGATCACTTTTATTTGTTCGGCATTTAAAATAAGATTAAAAAAACAGCACTATTCTCAGACACCCCCAGGCACATGAGAAATACCAATTAAGCTGTTCAGCGAGTGTCAGAAAATGACTTGAGACAACCATTGGCCACAAGTTCTCTTTCTCTTTCTTCTTAAAGGATTCAAGTTGCCCTGTCTTTCTTGCAAAGCAAACGCTCATGACATCTGCTTCCCCGCCAGTGACAGGCTCTGAAGGCACTGTGTCAGCGGGCACTCCCAGCTGCAGTCGCTCACCTGCCATGCCCCTAGCAGCAGGGGTCTCTCGTACCTGGGACAGGGTACCACTGTAGCTTCCAACTGTCTCAAACAAATTTTAGAACATAATTCTGTACAGAAGTCACCAATCCAGAGATATCAACTATCTAACATCAATGAAAAATCCAGAGGAGAGGCACAAAAGACCACTGAGAAGCAGAAACAGATGACATAAAAAGCACCCAACTCTAAAGAAAGACCTCCCCACCGTCTTAGCTTAGCTGAAGATTCATTTCTGATGAGTTTGGTGAGTTGGTCTTCTATGCCTCCAAAGAGTAGCAACAGATCAACAGAGGGTGAAATGCAGAACCCCAGAGGAGGACAGATGCTGGGGATAAGATGTCACGGCAGGAGGGCCATGTGATTCAGCGGATCCAACATTCACGGAGCACTAATCTCGTGCCTGGTCCTGGATGAGGGAAGGGACCTTGCTTGTAGACAAGTGTTAGCAAGACTTGAGAGCTGCCAGCATGATGACAAAGAATATATTTTTTTTAAGTTTAAAAAGTAGAAAAAACTCAAAAGTGCAGCTAAGGTGATAGACACCTTAGGATAACTACTTACTAGAACGTGAATGTGTTGGTACATTAATAATTACAGTAATGACCCAAAGTCTTTCAGACACATTTAAATAATCATAGGCTTAGCGGGTTTTGTTTTAATAAGTCTGACCATTCCTTAACGGAAGAATATAGGCCATCTAAGTATTAATACGCATATCACTTGAAAATTTTTACACCAACGCTGCCTCCTAGATATTTATATCTACCCATTGCCCTGTTTGCTTTTTCTATCTGTTCTTATTGTGTTTCTAATTTCCATCAATGGACTCTGATAGGAAAATGCTGCAATAATCACTATGCTCCATGTCAATCTACCAAAAATGAAAGTCACGGGGCAGGCTGGTAATTTAAAGTAATATTTCCTAGGGCCGGCCCGGTGGTACAGGAGTTAAGTTCCTGGACTCCACTTCGGCGGCCCGGGGTTTGTCGGTTCAGATCCTGGGCACGGACATACTTACTGCTCATCAAGCCATGCTGAGGCAGCGTCCCACAGAGAGCAACTAGAAGGCTATACAACTATTCCATACAACCACCTACTGGGGATTTGGAGAGGAAAAGAAAAGGAAAAAAGGAGGAAGATTGGCAACAGATGTTAGCTCAGGGCCAATCTTCCTCAAAAAAAAAAAATTGGTATTTCCTTGAGACATGACTTAGATCTGACAATCTCTGGAGACCCTTCCATACTTGATGAAATTTTTTAATGCTCATCTTTAAGAAAGATAATCACTGTGACAAATGTTCCAAAATGAAGCTACATCCCATCTCTAATGAGCAGGAGGCAGTATCCTTGTCAATGTAGCTCATGCCCATCAGAGAAATTCCCAAAACACACAGAAAACTGTCTTCAAATGACTGTTTCATTTTTTATGATTTTCAGTATTTCTCAAGTTTCTTATAATGAATTATTTTCAACAATCAGAAAAAAGAAAGGTGTGTGTGTAAGTAAAGTACAGGATGTAGATTTGGAGAGGTAGCAGTGGACGTCCTGCCTTTGGCCTTGGCTGCACCAGGCCCCACAGGGAAAGGTACAGATGACGCACTCTGCAACCTACAGACCCCGGCTCGTCTCAGAGTGATGTGTGGGCAACACGACTGGGCACACCTACTGCACTCAAGGGGCCTAAACTAATTTATACACGTCCCATCTCCTGACCTGGTCTTTTCTCTGGAACGTTAGTAAAACCAAAGCACTTAACACGATTTTAAAAATCAAAGAAAGTGTGGCCTAGGTAATCGCTCTTTTACAAGATGCTTAGGTAAAATTCCCGTCCCCATCAGATTCTGACTGACCAAAAGCTACTTTTGTAAGATAATGCTAAAAAGCTTCATTGACTTGCCTTTTCTAGTTTAGATCTCAGCAATAAAATTCTGCATAATCCATCAACCCAGAGTATTGAAATTATAATTATAAAATATGTAAATTATAATTATAATAACCCAAAAATCCTATCAGCCATTCAGGAGTCTGGTGTTTTTTATATCATGTATATATGATACAATATGACTTTTACATATCATGAGATATATCATATATCACATATATATACCTAATTCTTGTTTCTTGCTCTTCATGTTCATTAGGATCAGTTTCATTTTCTTTCCAGAAGTTCCAATAAACCACACCCTTTTCATTCAGCAAAGCAGAACAGTTGAGCTGTACATCTTTTCCTGGGTAAAAGTTGACAACCGATCGTCTGATTTTAGAAACTCAGATTTCCCAGTTTAAAATTAATATAATCAACATATGTTAACCTACTGTATAATGCTAATATAGTGCTACATTCCAGAAAGAACACAGATATGCCTTGTTCTTAAATTTTAAAAAATTTGTAAAGCAGAGAAATTAGATAACAATTATAAGTCATCATCAAAATATGAATTGATTTCTCTTCAAATGTTCATGCTTAAATCAATTATTAAAACGTAGGGTGGCCAGTGGACTTTCTTTTCAACATATAATTTAGTAGGTAGTGTCAGGCCAACACTCTCACTGCAACTTCTAGAAAAACAAAATGGATAAATCACAAAAAATTAAATTAAATTAGCCAAAAATTAAAGACATCAAATGCAGGGAAAGCAAAGAGAAACAGTTGAACTGAAAGTGCAGTCAGGAAAAAGTCCTTCCAGGGTAAGCTGAGATAGCCAGCCATTTTATTCCTTGGAGGAATTTGCTTTGGTTTGTACAACACAGAGGGAATCTCATAGAAAAAAGAGAGTCCACAGGAGATTTTGACAGCCACGCGGGCTTGCGGGATTCTTGCTAAGGGACTGGGGAGCAGCAGAGACTGCAAAGGCTTAATGATTTCTCCCGCAGTTTCACAGTACTTGGGAGAGTAAGGCCCACTAGAGGGAAAGGCTTGCAACAAACACATGACTCCCCCGAGCTATCAGAGGAAAAATAGACAATAGAAGCAGACCCAGAGATTCGATTTAGCAGATAAAGAGTTTGAAACAGCTATTGTAAATCAGTTAAAGAAAAGAGAGGAAAAGATGGACAAGTACCTGAAAAGATGGACATTTTCAACAAAGAAGAGTAATCTATTTAAAAAGAATCAAATGAACATTTGATAACTGAAAAAAAAGAAAACCATGAATTTAAAAACTTACTTAATGGTTTTAATAGTAGATCAGGTATAAAAGAAGGCACGATTATTGACCTTGAATTCAGGCTGAGATCAAAACTAAAGCACAGATGGAAAAAACAAAAAGAATGAAAATAAGAGAAGAGAGCATAAGAAACACGTGGAATATAGTTAATACATATAATTGGAGCATCAGAAGGAGAGTGAGAGGAAAGGGGCTAAAGAAATATTCAGACATAATAGCAGAGAATTTCCCCGAAGTTGATTAAATACATCCACTCACAGACTCAAGAAGCTCAATGGAACCCCAAGCAAGATAAATGCAAAGAAAACCACACCTAGAACACATCAAAATCAAAGAGATAGAGAAAGCTTTGAAATCAGCCAGAAAAACACATCAAAATGCAACAATAAGACTGAAGGCTGCTTTTTCAACAGAACTACGGAGACCAGTGAAAAACAGAAGGGCGTCTTTAAAGCGCAGTAAAAAACTGCCAACCTGGAATTATTGAAATTATTGAAAGAAAATATTCTTCAAAACTGGAGGCAAATAAAGATATTTTCAGGTAAGCAATAGCTGAAAGAATTTATTACCAGCATAACCGCACCATAAGAAACATCAAAGGAAATTTTTCAGACTCAAGAAAAATTATCCCAGATGAAAGCAAGCAAATGCACGAACAAATGAATGACACAAGAAGAGATAAATATTTGAGTAAATATAAAAGAATTTTGCTTGTTTAAAGCAGTAATAATGCCAATCTCTTACGAGTTTTATAACACATGCAGAGAAATATATGAAATAATAGTGCCAAGTGAGGTAAGAGGATGAGTGAAATTAACTGTTGTGAGGTTCTGGCATGTGTGTGAAGTTGTAAATGTACTAATATGTACATTTGTCTCATTGTAGTAAGACAAGGATGCATACTGTCATCTCTTGGAGAACTACTAATGAAGGATACAAAAAGGTATAACTAAAAGGAAAATAGGGCCGGCCCGGTGGCTTAGCGGTTAAGTGCGCACGCTCTGCTGCTGGTGGCCCAGGTTCGGATCCCGGGTGTGCACCGATGCACCACTTCTCTGGCCATGCTGAGGCCGCGTCCCACATACAGCAACTAGAAGAATGTGCAGCTGTGACGTACAACTATCTACTGGGGCTTTGGGGGGGGTAAATAAATAAATAAAATCTTTAAAAAAAAAAAAAGGAAAATAAAGCAGATTAAAGAAAGAAAAATACTTGATTAATCCAAAAGGAAAGGAGGAATAAAAGGAACAATAACACACGAGACAACTGGAAAACGGGAAGCAAGATGAGAGGCTTCAAATCAACTATATGAGTAATTCATTCAATGCAAATGGACTAGACTCTCTACAGACTGGATTTCAAAAAAGATCCAAATATACACAGTTTATGTGGGACACGTTTTATGTATAAAGACAAAGAAACGTTAAAAGTAAAAGGATGTAACCACCAATCTATCCTCTGTGTGTACGTGATTGTTGTTTGTTGTAGATTGGTGGTTACCAAAGGGGAAGGGGGTGGAGGAGGGCGAAAGGGTCAAAAAGACACAAGTGTATGGTCACAGATGGATGCTAGACTTTGAGTGGCGAACCAGATGCAGTCTATACAGAAGCCAAAATATTATGATGTACACCTGAAATTTACATCATGTTATAAACAAATGCTACCTCAATAAAAAATTAAATAAATAAATAAAACAGGGTCATAGGTCGGGGCCAGCCCGGTGGCACAAGCGGTTGGGTGCACGCGCTCCACAGCAGCGGCTCGGGTTCGGATCCCAGGCGTGCACTCATGCGCCGCTTGGCAAGCCATGCTGTGGCGGCATCCCATATAAAGTAGAGGAAGATGGGCACGGATGTTAGCCCAGGGCCAGTCTTCCTCAGCAAAAAAAGGAGGATTCGATTCAGATGTTAGCTCAGGGCTAGTCTTCCTCACAGAAAAAAAAAAAAATAGGGTCATAGGAAAAAAAATAAAAGGATGTACAAAGATAAAATACGCCAATCCAAAAAACAGAAAACTGTGTGTCTAATATCAGAGAGAGTAGGTGTTGAGGAAAGAAGTATTATGATAAATAAAGAGAAAAACTTCATAATGATAAAGTGTCAGTTCAACAGGCATCAATTTATGCCCATAAGATAACCTCCACATCATAAAGCAAAAACTGACAGAATGAAAGGATATTTAGACAAATTGACCATCATAGTTGAGATATTAACAACTCTCTCGGCAACAGATAGAGAAAGCACACAAAAGATTAGCAAGGATATAGATGATCCGAACAATACCATTAACCAACCTTACCTAATTGACGTTTATAGAATGATAAAAACCAAAAGTTACAGAATGCACATTTGTTTCAAATGCAGTTGGAACATTCATCAAGATACACCATATTCTGGTCCTTAAGCAAGTTACCACAAATTTCAAAAGACTGAAATGACACAGTGTATAATCTTGGACCATAATGGAACTAGTCTGGACATCAATAACAGAAAAATAGCGAGGAAATCCTCCAGATATTTGGAAATTAAGAAACACAAATAATCCATACGTGAAAGAAGAAATGACGAGGGAATTTTCTTTTTAATATTTCAACCTAAACAGTAATGAAAATATGGCATACCAATACTTGTTGGAAACAGCTAAAGTAGTGATTACAGGGAAATCTAGAGATTAAAAATGCACATACTAAAAGAGAAGATAATCGAAATTAATTCTCTAACTCTCCATGTCAACAAATGAAAAATGAGGTGCAAATTAAGCCCAAAATGAAAAGAAAAAATAATCAAGATAAGGTCAGAAATCAATAAAAATAGAAAGCAGGCGAACGCAAATACAAATGGCAAAGTGCCCAAGCTACATGGGCACATGTGCTCATATAAGCGACTGTGACCAGCTGTGGTCAAAAGGTGTGGGCTTCGGAAATAACAGAAACTTGAATCTCAGTTCTGCCACTTTCCAATGGTTTAACTTTAGACGAGTTAATTAACCTTTCTGAGCTTCGGCCATTTAATTCATAAAATGGGGATAACACCCCTCAGAGTTATTTGGATGATTTAATTCAATAATATATTTCAATCACCTAACACAATACTTAGTTTAGCATATGTGAATTTCTTCTTTTCCTTCCTTCCTTTGCTTTTGGAAAGAAATTACTCAACTGGACATGTTGATTCATTAAGGCCTGTCTAGACGAATCCTAAATGTACAGTCACATCAGTCCATCGATTCAAAGTGAATCCGTTAATCAAATATTAGAACCACACAACAGGTTTGAATCATTTCTCCAGAGTGTTCTCACTGAGTTTTCATATTTAAAAGTGACCACAGAGACTATTAGAGAAAAGCCACACACAAGGCAACTAAAACTCTAGTCCACAAACCACAGGCAGTTCTATAACCTTTTGAATAGACGGTTCATTTTAACTAGCCTAAAAATGGCAACTTGCAAACAATAACAGGCTGGTTCTGCTTTTGTCATGTTCTTCACTGAACGTGGGATGTGTTATGCACACAATATGGATCACTAATGAATCAGATTTAGCTTTGGAAGACTCAATTATGCCTCATTCATAAATGCAGAATATATGTATATCAAAATATACCTAATTCCACTTTAACATAGTTAAGCTTTGGTCCAAGAAGAACTGGAATTACATTACTGCGATCTAAAAGTGAAAAAAGAAAAGAAACATGCGTTAGTGTTGCTCTGAGCTTCTCTAAGACAAACAGGTGCTGTAATACGCTTATTCCGTGTGACAAAGATTCTAATCGTCATCACCGCACATTTACTTTAGTCGTATTTTCATTAAATAGTGGTTGCAGCTAATATTGTATGTTGTTTCACTTTCCATCAACTCAAAGCTCACACAGCTGGAGAAAGCACATTGAATCTGGTTTTCCCTCAATTCATATCTGTGGCTTCTGCTCACCGCAGCTAAAAGCCAGAAGAAGATGCTCATCCAGGGAGACAACCGAACTTGCTGGACTTAGAGGATGCAAAGTCACTGGGAAGCGCCTTTCTGCTCTGCCTTGATTCCTTCCTCTGCTCTCCCCTGCTCCTCACAGATTTATTGGGCGGGGTGGGCAAGACACCGCACTCAGGGACCCGACCCTCCCCTGGCAGGACACTGAGAGGAGTGCCCCTTCAATTCTGTGCCCTGGAAACCTCACTGGCCTCAGCCTAGTATCGCCCTGCTGGGGTGTCCACACCTGTAGGCTCAGTTCTACTTTTGTTCCTGAGTGACTTCTGATCCCGACTGGAGGTACTTAAATATTCTCCACCTCAGCCCACATTTAGTAATGCTGAATAACCCCCCAGCAGCCTCCCACTGAATGCTATAATACAACCTAGGGCGGCTAATAACTGCACAACTCAGAGTAACTGTGGTAGTACGTTTACACTGCTATGTAGTCTAGTTCTTGTTTTCCTATTATCAGCATTGGCAACTTTCTTCATGACCTGGACTCTCCCCTCTAGTCCATCCGGTGTCTCTGGGACATTTACGAGTAATGTCCAGAGCAGCCTTCATGGGGCTTTGCAGGTGCTCAGCAAACAGAATCCCTTTTTCAGGAGCTCTCCTACAGTGTCCACACCCTCCCATGCTCTCTCAGGAAGTGCGGTGCTACAGAGCGAAGAGTGGAGAAAGGAGTGGAGGGATCTGTGGGCAGGAACTGGAGAATGAAACCAGTGCAGCGAAACCCCAGGTTGAGTCAGGTCTGGGTTCCTCTGGGATTCGGACTCTGGGCAAGCCTGGAATTCCTGGAGGCAGGCAGGAGGAGCTGGGATGCCTCCAGAGAAACAACTAACTCTCAGGTCTGAGAGTACTGAGGAACGTGAGTTGATTCAAGGACAAAGGGGCAGGAGGTGGTTTTGTGTAATGAGGAAAACTGCTACTGATTATATTTCTTTGGATCCATCTTTTTTCTCAGTAACTTTGGTGGGAGTCCTGGGAAGAGGTGGTGTAAAGGACATCTTTAGGAAAGGACATCTTTAAGAAAGGATACCATCTACTAAAACTTGAAGTATATCATTGAGAAACCAGAGAGGCGCCAGGTTTGTAAAACTGGGGTAAGGTGAAGGGTACAATCCTATTGAAGCTAAAGGAAGGAAGAAAACACCTCAGTGTATACCCCTAACATGCTAGTCTACCTATGAAGCTAATATCACAGAATCAAAATGGCACAGAGCTGGTCAGCTGTAGGATGAGACATCACCAGATCAGCCAGAGCATGAGATGAAGAAAATGGCAGATGCCAGGTGGGAGCCAAGAGGACTGTGATTCAAGGCAATGGTGCTCACCACATGGTGGCTAAGAGATCTCCGTCCATGAGCACAGGTGAACTGTAATAGAGACACAAAATAGAGAAGGTGGGAGCTCAGAGTCCCACTGTCCTCAGCGTAGGTCAGGACACCTCCTGACTATCAACTTCAACTCTTAAGCTCTACATTTTAGAAGAATGGTGGCAAACTTCACCAAATCCAAAGAAAAATCCAGGATGATTAAGAGTCTACACTTCTTGTTGAATGAGGCATGGTTGAAGGAACTGTTTCTGTCTCAATAATTCACTCAACAGACGTGTAATGAGACCTACTATGTGCCAAGTGCCGGCCATAAGGATGGGAGATACAAAGAATGAGGAAGAGAACTCAGTTCAATCCCTGCTTTCCAGGAGCTTCTCAGTTTACTGACAGAAACAGACATATAATCCAATTCTGACAACAATTAGAAATATGAGCAAGAAGCCATGGGAGCACAGAGGAGGAAGGACATGTGAACTGAGTCCTGAAAGATACAGTTGTCTCCAAGAAGACAAGGAAAATAAGATGGGCAGAAAAATTAGTTAGGCAGTTAGGCAGAAAAATACCATGTGCAGCGGTGTGGAGAGGTGGAGGCGAGGCAATGGGAGATGGGAGTGACGATACAGCTGTCTGTGTCCTTGGCACCACTCTCGATGCTTTATACACACTCACTCACTCAGTCCTCAAAGTAACCCTGTGAGGGATGAACCATTACTGTCCCATTTTACTACTGAGGAATCTGAGGCAGAGAGAAAGAAAGTAATTTAACTCACCCAAGATCACAAGCTCACAGAGCTGTTGTGAGAGTTATATGAGATGATTCATCTAAAGTATTTGGTACAATTCCTGGCCTATAGTAAGTGCTCTTTTGATAATGGATATTCTTACTGCTCCTTCCAAGAAGGAAAGAAAGAGGAGCTGATGGGCAAAAAGCAAAGATTGATTGGGGGAGGGTGTTGGTGGTGGAAGTGTCGAGAGATCAGAGCTTTATATGAGATTAAAGAATATTTATAGGAAAGTAAAACTGAAGAATTCAGGATAGATAAATAGAATTTCAGATATTTGAGTTTAAGGATTCAGTTATGGGATTCCCAGGTTTTGGGCTATGGCAGGCAAAATAACACCCCACCCACCCAAACAAAGTTGTTCACATCCTAATTCCCAGATCCTGTGAATATTATACCACACATGGCAAAAGGGACTTTGCAATGTGATTAAATTAAGGATTTTTGTTATGGATTAAGGATTAAGGATGAGGAGAGTATCCTGGATTATCCAGGTGAGCCCAGCATAATTACAAGGGTCCTCAGAAGAGGGAGAAAAGATGTGATGAAGGAAGCGAAGGTTAGAGAGAGATCTGAAGATACTACACTGATGACTTTGAAGATGGAGGAAGCGGCACGAGCCGAGGAATGCAGGTGGCCTCTACAAGCTAGAAAAGGCAAGGAAACCTATTCTCTTCTAGAACCTCCAGAAGGAATGCAATCCTGCTGAAACCTTGATTTCAGCCCAGTGAACCATTTCAGACTTCTGACCTCCAACTGTAAGATAATAAATTTATGTTGTTTGGAGACGCTAAGTTTGTGGTAATTTGTACATTAGCAATACATGGTGTAGAGCTATATCAATGGAGGTTCAAGTGAGGAGGAAAAATGTTGCTAAAGCAAAAGAGCCCACAATTTTGTTGAATGAGTCATCCTAGGAGATGGAATGATGGAAAAGAACATCTAGGGTGTATGAGTCACCTATCTTCAAATACTCGAAGGAGCTATTATTTTAGGAAGAGACCACACTTAATCTGTGGAGTTACTGAAGGCAAACAAAACCCGGCAGGTGGAAGTTACAAGAACGCATATTTGGACTCAATGGAAATAAAAGACTTCTCTACAGTCAGCTATTATAATCTGGACTAAACTGCTGTGTGATTTGGTAATTTCCTTGGTAGTTCCCAAGAAAGGACTGAATGACCAATTATTGGCTATGCCACGTGAAGGATATCTTCACTGGGAGAGGTTTAACTAAATTACCTCTAAGGTCTCTGTCACTCTAAACCTCCAGGCTTCAGTTTTTCCGTTAAACATAGTCTGGGTTCATGATAAACCAGACTCATAGCCATGATCCCAAAATGCATTGTCCCTTGCCACGACCACACCTGTGCTCCTCATGTGCTCTTATCAGAGCTCCCTTTCCCCAGCATGTCCTCCTGCCCAACCATCATGCTCAGCCTCTAAGACTAACTCAAACAGTGCCGTCTACATCGGTTCTTCTTCTGGACTCCACCTGTGCCCTTAACACCTCACTGATGACTCCAGTTTCATATACCGTGGTACCTCTATTTGGCTTATTGCCCGCCCTAACTATAATCAGATTCCTTGAAAATAGTGTATTACTTACTTCATTTCATATTTTCCCTGCTTCTCTTACCTCCCAATGTTCAGTACGGTTTACTGAACATAGACATCGTCAATAAATATTTGTTGACTGAAAGTATAAGCATAACAAAAGCTTCCACAATTTACTCAAATACCAAATAAGAGAGCTGATTCACGGAAAGTTCACCTACATAAGCTTTCATGTGCTACCCCCAAAAATCTTTTCAGCACAGTGGATGATGCCAAACAGATTTTGATTCTTATATTTGAGCTAGTCATGTGGTCATAACTCCAACTAAGTTGCCTCTGGCTTCCTATACTGCCCTAGTAGGAAAAAAATATTCTGTTCTACTGAGATACCTTTGTTTATTCCCGATTCTAAAATTTCTCTTACCTCCAACTATTGTTATATTGAAGGTCTTGGTGACGTTAAATACTTTGCCATTATGATGAAGGAAAAACATGCAGGTGTAATATCCCTGATCTTGAAACTCTGCATTCTTCCGTAAAGATGAGTTTTTATTGCTCTCTATCTTCTCACAGTTCTGTTTTTAAAAAAACAAGTTAAAATATTTTAAGTAAAAGCAGTATTATATTACAATAATTCAAAATTTTAAAGTTAAAGACTTTTAGAGAAAAAGGGAAACAGTATGAAAACTAGCAGTTTCTGAGTAAATGTCCCAGTGAATTGGCACTGTCTCTACTGGAACAATGAACTACAGTCCCATTACTGTTATTATCATTATCATTATTAATAAATGCTGGGAAATAAAATATGGGGGGCATTGTAGCTGCTTTCATCATTTTCTTTTAACTCTCTTTTACACACAAAGAAAGGCAAGAGGAGAGCAAGAGACAGAGAGAACACAGTAAAAAATCGCTGCTTGGGTCAAAACTTTCCGCACAATTCTATTTCATAACACTTTTAGTCTAATTCCAGGCACTCAGGACTACCCATCCTGAGGGTGGGTCCTGGGGGTGGGGGCAGAATTACTCAGAGAATTGAGTACCCAGCAGACTACCCACCTCCTTGATGTCCTCGACCAGAAGGCAGTGGACTGATTAGAAATGCATCAAGAACATTCAAATCCACAGGTGCATACAAACATATCTCTCTATCACAAATTTCCATATATGTCACAGGAATTAATAATAATAAAATGTCACCTTCTTTGATCCAGCCATCAGTTACCCACAGATAGGTTCTGAAACTATCTAAGAACCAGGAGAGGGAAACGGGAGCTGAATTGCTAACCTTGACTATGTGACACCGTTCCTGAAAATACCAACTGAAATAAACAATTTATAAGTTTTACATGGTGTGCCGTTCTTGCACCTTGATGAAATCACAGGATTCTCCCTCAAAGCTGGTGGCAACTGGGGCTAGGCACAGAGGGTGCCTAGAACGGGCTTGCAAAGCACCCACATGTGTACCTCACTCAGTAAATTGTTTCTGTGTAAGCCAAATTTTTCTAAACCTAAGCTGATTTTTTCCAAGGCATATTAAAATATCAAAGACTATTCTTATTTGTAATCAATTGTTTACTGATTTAGCCTCCTGTTCCCCTCCCCTCAGGTAGGTCATGATCTGTAAACAGGCTGAGAATACTCAACTCCGTGGCCAATTATCTAGCTAAAAACATCCTCATTACATCTACTCTCTAAATTTAAGATCTGCATGTTGGGATTTCTTGAAACTCAGTACACTAACTTTAGAGATTTATATGTACTATAAATTATTTGCACATTCGATGGGAGACAGAGTCAAGTCAACTCTGGACTGACTCAGATGTTTAGAAAATATTTTGGGCAAGACTGTCCTTGAAAAGTCATGAGGAAACAATGTTTGAGCAAAAGGTACAAACAAAAGCTTCTAGGAAATCGTCGTCAGTAGCCTCAACTTTCCCCAGGTCTTCTGTCCAGACCCCCCTCTTCCAGCTCTTCAAAGTCTCCACAACAGAGTCACATTTCTCAGGTTTGTTCTTCTATAGAAGTAATATAATGTGTGTTGTGCATGTGCCTTGTGTGTACATTATGTATGTGTTCATGTATATTACATATACATAGATACATAACGTATGTGTGTGCATACATGTGTATATATAATCTCCATAGTATTGTCTAAAAGAGCTCTTACAACTCATGTAAAAAGTTCACCAAATGAAGAAAATAGACAAAGAAAATAAAAAGACAATCCACAAAAGAAGTAATACTAAGATGCAATAAATATATAAAAAATGTTTAATTTATACTAAGAAAAGAAATGGGGAAAAAGCCACTACTAGAAATTTTGCATGTCAGATTTTTAACTCTTCCTTCTAAAAGTATTACCTTATAGTGTGGTGAGGATGTGAGAAACTGACATAGTTTCCAAACTCCCTGGAGAGGAGTTTGATATGTGGACCAAAAGCCATAAACATGCTCATAGCCTTCGATCCAGTAATTGTACTTTTAGGGATTTTGTTGAAGGATAAAATTATATATTCACCCTAAGACTTACGGGAATGATATTTATTTTAGCCTTATAAATAATAGTGAAAAGTAGAAACCTAACAAAGTCCAATAACAGGATTATTAGAAACAAGTATATACACAACAGAATCCCATGTTTGGAAAAATGTTGAAAGATGAGGGAGAATAATCAGCATATAATCTTTAGTGGATAAAAGGAACATACAAGCAATGAAAAAATACCACTTTTTAAAAGTAGGCGTTCACTCATAAAAACAACTCAAGTCTCTGGCTGGTGGGATTATGAGTGATTTCTGCTATATTCATTATTCATTTTTTTCGTCTTCCAATTTTATAAAATGAACTCATATATTCAGAAAAAATATATACAATAGAACTTTAAATTTTAAGTACATGTGGCAGAAGAAAATTAAAATCCTTAGGCTAGCATTCCAAAAAATTAATTTTTTGAAAGAGAAGAAAAATGAAGGAAAGCAAGAGAGAGGAAGCTGTTATCATTGATTAAACACTTAATATGAGGCAGGAACTGTGCTACAGGCATTATGTGTAGGAGCTCATGACAGCGACACTGAAAGGGCACCCAGCTCAGACAGGCCAGCTGAGCTGCATGGGGTCACACAGCCTGCAAGTCAGGAGGCCAAAATGCTCTATAGCCATGAGACCTCCATTTTGGAATTTTATTTTTTCTATCAAGTCTTAAGTTAAAATATTTTAAAAGCGTTACCTTATACAACAACGTTCTGCCGGCTGGCGGTTTATAGTAACTATGTTCACAGTTTATCTGCAAAGATTTTTTAACTTCCACAATTTTACTCGTCACTTGTTTTTCAGTAAAACAGCTGTTTCTACTTCTTCCGATGACATTTAATTTCCATTCATGAGAATCATTTCTATGAAATAAACGTTTAAAGATATTTTATAATTAGTACAGAGACTTTGCAAATACCACCTTTTAGTAACCAATCCAACAAAATTTTTTCCTTGGTTTTGTATAAAGAGACTTATTCATTGATGCCCAAACCCGGCTCTGCCTCTTTTTGGTTCTGTGCAGCAAGAAATCTAACAACTGTCATGGGATGGGAGGAGGGGGCAGTGAGAGAGAAAAATATGAGCAGTCCTAAACAGAGACACACACACACACACGCGCACACACACACACACACACACACACAAAACCTATCACAGACCATATGTTATAGATGTCAGGAGAGAAATGTTTAAAACTTCAGTAACCTTTGGAGACAGACAAGTTCAGAAATTCTTAACCCAGGTGGTGGTTTCACGAGGTCTATAAAAATCTCCTGAACTTGTTTTCTGAAAGTTTGTATATATACATTGGGTTTTATTATTTCTCAGGGCAGTTTATTTCAGTCCTCTTCTCTTACTGTTGAGTAACCCAACAGTAAACCCTCAGTGTAGTTGTATTGGCACTTTAAGTGCTTTACTGAGCAAAAGCTAGTTTGAATAGATTCCATTGTTGTTCTTCCTTCTGATTAGAAATTAGTAATCTGGAAGAGGAAAAACATTGAATAGTGTTTTTAAAAAGGAGCTTCTGAAAAAGAAAACATTTGCAGTCTGAGTTTTGCTTAAACTGCTCATATGATATATATAGACCCGTATACTAAATATAACAAACCCATGTTGTTAACTTGTCCTGTGTGCCTGACAATTTTGTGCCCACCGTAGGCCTTTAAGTCTACAACAGGATGGAAGGAAGACTAGCACTGATTGAGTTCCAGGAATTGTAACATGGATGTGCAATGGAGACGACTATTTTCCTTATGTTAGATGAGAAAGCTAAACTTCAGGCAAAGTTAAATAACTTGCCCAAGATCACACACTTGGTCAGCGATAGGGCCGGGGTGCAAGTACACATCTGTTTGGCCCTACACGCCAGGAGTGCTTTCACAATGGTGTGCTTTCATAATTGATGTGAATCTGGTCCTTCCCCTTGGATATGAAAGTATACAAGATTGGCCAGGGCTGGCGGGGTGGGGGGAGGTGTGTTGGCAGGCTGTCCTAAAGGTTCAAGAGAGTGAGTCAGTGGCCATGGAACATAATAGAGCAACCTGGCCCTTGGGAAGGATTCAGAATCCCATTGACAGCATCTTCTTCTCAAGTGTGTTTGTAATGTTTCCCTGACTTCAGCCTCGCTGAGCTGGACAGAGACATACATCTGGATCCCTCTGTCTTGTTGCTTACAAAGAATAGGGCACATGCACATTCCCATTTTATCAGGCCATGTTGTTCTCTGCCTCTGAAGTCCTCAGTTCCTAACACTCAACAAATACTGACTGGCGGAACACCTCCATGTCCAAGACGCTGCACTGGGCGTGCTGAAACACGTAGCACACTGTACTTGGTATGGGAGCACAAAGGCTAGTGGGAAGCTGAGGTCAACTAATCCAAAACTGTGACCCTCCAGGCCAGCCCATCCTGATTACAAGAGCCACTCCTGGCCACACACAGAAGGGATTTGAGAAGGTCTAGCCCACTCCCCTGAGGCCCCTTACCAAGCCAACCTTGCTGCCTGTCAGCCTAGAACCTGATTACATGATTTCTGTGTGTGCTTTTCTCTCTACACTCATTTCTTCACCCTATCATCGAAAACTCTGTCTCCTGCACTCCTCCCATCTTTGCGGATTTCCTCCATAAAATCCAATCTGAGAAAAAAGTGATTTTCATCACAGGACTAAAGTTTCAGTCTCCAGAGGCATTTGATCATTAGCAATGGATTCCTGAAAAATTAATAGGATTACAGTTCTAAGGCAGGATTCCAGGTGTGGAGTCTGGTCATTGACAGAAGCCACATGCAACTACAAAGGCTCACTCATCTAAGACGATGCACACATAGACAGACGTACAAACACATCTGCACACACATGCCTCTGGGGCACACACAGGAACCTGTTCACCAGTTGCACTATATTTGAAAGTCTATATCTTCAGTGCTCCCAGATGTGTGAAACAACCTGCTCCCATGTCGGCTCCCATTTATTTTCAAAATCATTGTCAAGCTGTTCCTCCCACCATCACTTTAGTCTCACGTTATTCATCAGCCTCCAATGCCCTTCAATGTTCATCACCACAGCCGCTGTGAGCCAGCTCATTTCTCCTGCCCTCTCCTAGCCTCTTCCAGTCGCTCTACACCTGTCTGACATCCTGCCTCTGTCTGATGATTCCACTGTTTCTTCCTAACCCAGGCTGTGTCCTCCACCTTCCAGATCAGAAAGACGGTTAATGCCCTTTGTCCCTATCTGTCTCCAAGTGACGTTCTGAGGCGACTAGCTCTTCCCACTTTGCTCTTTCTGCCCTGTCCAGAATACTTCGTTCATTTAAATCTTGCTTCTGTTCAATCAGGATTAAGGAGATGGTCGTTTTTCTCTACCCCATCTGTGAGTATTCGTTCTTCCTTAGCTTGGTGTGGAAAGACCCAGTTGTGACCCATTTCTGGAATCATCTATCTTAAAAAGTCACATAAAATTCATTGGTTTAAAAAAAAGAGTTCTTCAATTTCTTTCTGACTCCTGGGAGTTCCTATGTATAAAAACAAACCAAAATGACCTCATTTGTGTAAAACCACAGGAGTGCTATCAAGGTTTCACTGTGATATCTCACTCTGCTTTCAATGGCACTGTTGATAATGATCAGGACTCACTCCAGAAGCACTTGTGAAAGAAATCTACTACTTCTGACAGCACACCATCACCGCTCACCTGGCCCTGAGCTGTTTTCTATAGGGCAGTTTCAAATCCCTATAAAAACACATAGGCACACACACATACATATACACATGCACACATACATGCATACACACACATACATACATGCATCTACACCTATACATGCACACATTTGCACACATACATGCATAATACATACACACATACATACATACCCAATTATGGACATAACATCACCAATGTACCAGATAAACACCATGGCATCAATGTTCTCACTAACAGTCTATCACATGGAAGATTCCTTGCCCCAGTTACTCCTTCCCCATCTCACCAAATAAAGTATAAAAAGAACCAAGTTCAGTAATAATTGTTGACACATTCAGCTGGTTGCTCTCATGTCATAGAACCTATGGTTCTTGATTATGGGTCTCCTGGGAGACTCTAGCGTTATGTCATGAGAAGGCTGTACAAAGCCTCTTCTGTGCTTCCCTATCTCACTGCCCCTGGCTGTTGGTTTGTGATTGACTGCCAAACACACACATCTTTCACTAGCACTGCCACCTGGCTCTCAACAAATTGCTGAGAATTAGACTAGGATATATCTACACCAATTCCAACCCCTCTCCCCAGCCTGAGGATACTACTCAAGAAGCTGACACTGCCCCACTTCACTACATGTTCACAACATTACGAAGCCCTAGCCATTTGTTTCATTTGACCAGCAGCTCGCGACAATAGGGACAGCTGAATTTTAAAATGAATTTCATTCAGTCTTCACTTATCTTGGGCAAGGATCCCCTAAAAGGAAATCGTATTAGGTAATCTCCTTTCATTAAGATCAGTAAGAAAACAAACACAGGGCCAGTATTTAATTTAATCTATCAATAATGAAGTGTTTATATCATGCGGTAGGATGAGTCGGGAGAGAAAATGCATGGATTATCTGACCTTTCAGATTACGGTAAATTTGATTTGCTGAACAAAGCCCAAAAGTGCGAGGAGACAGACTAACACAAAGAGAAGGTGCACTCACCCCATTTGGAAAGAGTAAGATCCACTGTCGTCCAACTCAACTGGCCAAAACTCCAAAACATAATCACGCAGAGCAATTCTGGGTGATCTGCTTGAGTTTAGCTCCACGGGGCCATGTGATCCACTGCATTTGTACCATTTTATGGTGGTGGTTTCATTCTTATGCTCAGATGAAGAAGGGCAATATTTCAGATAGAAAGGTTCCCCTTCAACTGCAGTAATGCGAGTACGTAAAGTACAATCTTCTTCAAAAGATTAGCATAGTAAAAGAAAAAAACAAAAACAGAATGACAAAGGTAAATTGTTTTTCTTTCCTAATGCATTAGGTGAAGAAGGCGGGTACGTCAGAAAGTCTTGAGAAATCTCAGTGTCTCAGCCCTACAGGTTCTCTTATTTTAGGGTCAATCTTTCTAACACTCAGACACTTTCAGAACAGAAATGAAGACAAACCTTCCAACAGCTTCTCCCAGACAGGAAGGTACCTGTACAACTTAACCTGTCATAGCTAGAAGACAGATACATGTAGTGTAATGTTTTAAAAGAAAATGTTACACATACTTCCTCATAAGAAAAGCCACGGAAGTCACGGTGTTGCCACACCTACCTCAAAACATCTGCAACTGAGGAGTCTCCATGGAAAAGAAAACAAGAAACCTAGAGACCTCAGAGATTTTCATCTGCATCATTAGAAGTCTCACCTATCTTGCTCTCAATCAGCCTACCTAAGCGTTCCCTGGGCAGGTGTGGGGATGGTTGAAGGTGTAGATTAGAGTGTGTGTAAATCCGTTATCTCTCTAGGTTACCAGGTGGACAATCAAGAATTGATTAATGTAGTATCACTCCAAATCTGGGTATCCGTCACTTCCCCTTTTTGAACTCTCTCTCTCTCTCTCTCCCCCCTCCTCCCTCCTTCTTTCTCAACTAACCCAGATACTCGGGCTTTGGAAATTTATCTGATCCTTTCAGTTAGACGAGGTCATCATCCCCCTCTTTTTGCACTTCTGATAGTTGAAAGTTGACATTAACGGACCTTTCCCATATCCTGTCCTCCAGTGGCTCCAGGGTGCCCTTTAACCATATCTTGAGAATGAAGTCCTTAAACTGCGTAGAGCATTCTATGAGGGCATGGAGAAAATGCCTTCTCTGTAGCTAGGTTTTCTTTCTCAAAGCAACTGCCTGGTTTTAGTTCAGTGTTGTTAACCACAATATGAAGAGGAAGTGGCTCAGCTGATAGAAGCTTTCTTTGAAAACATGGATGTCAAATCTCCCACAAAGCACAAGAGTTAGTGAACATCAACATTGTGTGTGGTGGTTGTTATAGAATCTCTATTGTGCATTGCAGCGCTTCAACATAGAAGGTGTGATATGTGTCAACGTGGGTGTTACTTTTTAATGACACCCAAAAGGATGGTAGATTATAAAGAGCTTAATTTATTTTCCTATTTTAGAGACATAATATACATACAATGAAGTGCACAAATCACACAATGTGTGCTCTTTTCTGTCTGGATTCTTTTGTTCATAATTGTGTCTATGACAGGTATCCACGTAGCAGTAATTCGTTCTTTTTTCATAGTTATGGAGTATCCAGTTGTGCTAGGATTTGACAATTTCTTTATCCATTCCATTGGTGTTGAACATTTGGGTGATTTTCAGGTTTGGGCCAATCTTAGAAAAGCTTCTGTAAACAGCTGTGCCTGTGTTGTGATAGGCACACGCAATCATTCATCTTTGAGGGGAGTTATCATTTGAAGAAACCTAACCTGGAAGACATACTCTCCAGGAGTGGATGGTTGGCAGTTGAAAGTTCACACTCCCCAGGCAGCTAGTGGCTTCAGATATCTAACCTCATGTTTAACATTATGGGCTTTGTTGATCAGAAATGGTTTTTGATTGGAGAAAAGAGTGGAATTCAAGGTATATGGATTGTCCAGAACAGGCACTCCCATTTTTACGTGAATAGAGCATAAGAATCCAGCAGGGTCCAGAACCTATACCCTTTAGAACGATGTCTGTTTTTGGAATTGTTTAGAGTTTGGATAATAGTAGGATGTTGTCATCTAATTTCAACTAGGTTAAATGAGTCCTACACATAGAATATTGTCATGTCTGCCTAGACTGAACCCTCCATAAAAGGTGCTCTTCAAATACCTCAAAGGACAGAGAGCTGGGACCTTAGCAACCTTACAGAACAGACTCCATGGTTGTTTTTGAGCCTGAAACGTGTTTTCATTGTAACCTGGGAACAAGTGTATCAGTGTATGCGCACAGAGCAGGGACCCAGGAGGCACACTCTCCTGCACCTTGCTTTTTCACTCAGCAGTTTCTGATAGATCATTCCATATCAAGAAGAGCAGAACTACCTCCTTCCCTTAACATCTGGGTAGTAGTGTATTGTATGGATCTCAATAATACGTGGGTCCACTTAAGTAAATATACCTCAATTTTGGGCCTGAGTTATTTGAAAGTATCAGTAACTTAAATCCATTATCTCTTCAGCAGAAATAGGGGATATGGGCTCATGTGTTTCCCTTTCCTAGATAATAGATCAAGGCAAATCAATATTTGTACCCCCACTTTCTCCTCCAAAGCCTAAGGAAAGCCTTGCTAATCACTCATGGAACTCTCCTCCAAAGAATCCTGATGAGGCCTCAGAACGCTTCTCAGTGAAAGTCTCCAAGCATCACTGCTAATAAATTAAAATTGGCGTTTGACACCTGGCATAAAGCCTACTTGTCTTCCCTGGTCTAGGCGGTCTCTTTCTTATGGATTCCCTCTAACTGTATTATTATCTTTAAGATCCATAAGGTATTCGCACTCACTTTTTTCGTTACCTAAATCATGAGAGGAATCTTTGCCTTCATTTCAGGGAGGAAATAATGTGTGTAAAACTTTCTAAAAATCAATAATAAAGATGGCTGGGACTTCAGTTTCAAATAACATGAAGCAAATTTTCATCTCAGACAAATGTAATTTATTTCAGGATACAAGTTTTCATATCCTGCTCTCTCTATAAACTCAGACCACTGAATCTTTTTTTTTTTTCAGTTATCCCATACGAGTCTTGACTTGATCCCATTCCTATGAATCTTTTATTATCTATGCCAGGAACACCAAATGGTTGGCAATTTTATAAAGTAAAATGTAAAATCACTAATTTTAATAAATTCAGCATCTTCAGTAGCCACCTCCACATAAAAACCTTGGTATTCCCTCTGGACTACCCAGGAAGTATGTTTGTGAATGATTATAATTACTTACCTGAGGTGCTTGTAAACATAAGGAGCAAAAGTGTCAAGGGTATTTCTCTACGAGGCATGTTGAGGATTCTGGTTCAAATAGTTTCTCTGGAAAACAGAACAAGACAGGTTCAGCCAAAACTCTCAAACAAAAGCATACCTGTCTTACAAAGGAGGTTTTCAAAAATCTTCTGGGGGCCGGCCCAGTGCTGCAAGCAGTTAAGTGTGCGCGCTCCGCTGTGCCAGCCCGGGGTTCGCGGGTTCGGATCCCGGGCGCGCACCAACACGCCCCTTGTTAAGCCATGCTGTGGCGGCGTCCCATATAAAGTGGAGGAAGATGGGCATAGATGTTAGCCCAGGGCCAGTCTTCCTCAGCAAAAAAGAGGAGGACTGGCATCGGATGTCAGCTCAGGGCCGGTCTTCCTCACAAAAAAAAAAAAAAAATTAAAAATAAATAAATAAATAAATTTATAAAAAAAAATCTTCTGGAACACAGACTCTTAAAAAATCGTAAATTTTCATACCCTTTAATATAGTCACCAACTAGTCTCAGAACTTCCAGCCATGTAGAATTAATAAATTTCAAGGCAATGAATTTCGGCATCTAGAAGAAATCCCCAACAATGCAATTTTCTGTTATGAAAGAGCCTGGCTATTTTAAGCCTGGTCTACTAAATTTTACTTCCAAGGTCAAAGTTGAGGACAACAGTATTTCCAGAAAATCTGCTATTCTATGAATAGACCCTCTAAGATATACTAAGATATGTATGGCAGTTCTGCCCATGTAGAAGTGAGTGCGTGTGTGTGTGTGTGTGTGTGTGTGTGTGTTCCAGATGATTTTTCTCTCACCACATAAAAATGCTCATCACGATCTTCATTTGTGGGTTGAATTTTTAGATATCCATCTTTCTTCTTCAGAACTAGGTTCTTCATAATTTAGGAACTAAGCCTATTTTACTCATCACTGTATCACTAAAGACCAGCACAATGCCTATCACATAGTAAGCACTCATTAATACTTGTTCAAGAGGACAAGCTGTGTGGATGTGTGTGCTTGTGTCTACACTCGCATGCCCCTATACATTTATTTCAGGAAATGGAGAGACAAAGCCAGAGTTTCCTATACTCCAGATGCCAAATCTACACGGACTCAATGAACTCAAATCTCTGCTGAATTTCGATCCTCCTCCAACCCATCTTTTGTCCTACCAATTACAAATTTAGAGAGTAGAATAGAGGAAGAGCGCACTGGGGCTCATATACCGAGTCTGAATATTTTGTAAACAATCCTATCTTCCTTGAATACCACACACTAGCTCCACTGGGTGGAGGGAGCACAGCATGACAGAAAGAGCTTGGTTTCTGGGGCACATAAACCTGGGTTGTCATTCAGGCTTGAGCCCTGAAAAGCTGTGCAACCTTCAGCAAGTTGCTTAAAAGTTTCAGAGCCTATTTGCTCAATACCAGAATGGAGATGATAAGAAGCCCTTTCTCTAAAATTAATGAGTGATTAAATGAGCTAACGCTTATGAAGGCTTCCTGGGGACATGGCAGCCTCTTAACCCCAAATAGTTCTCTCACCAACTGCCACTCATCTCCTATACTGAAAAAACGGACTGTTAATTTCCAAATCCTGGATGAAGTTTAACGGCTAAGCTGCCAAATCATTTACATCAATCTTTATGAATAACATCACTAATCATTTGATGTAATTTCCCAGAGATGATAATCAATAACGTAAAGACAAAACAATAAGTCTGTATGGAAAGTACCAACTGTTCATAACCAAGTTAGAATATTTCTATGGTTTGAAATCAACCCCCTGCCCACACACACACACATTATTAACTCTATTCTCTTATCTCAAGTAGAAAGAAAAGTGTTGTTTCCTCTGGTTAAGCTTTACAGTCTTATAAAGGACACTGTTGGTTTTTTGGGTTTTGTTTTTTTTTTTTAATTTTCAAGATCTACTAAGTGGTAAAGTTATTATAAGATAATTCAGCATTCTGATGAGTTAATTCTGAGTTTCAATATGAAACATGTTAAGGTCCCAGTATACAAATTAGCTGATGTTTGCACCACTCTGTGTGTGTATATATATAAAATTTTTACTTAATGTGGATTTAAAAGATTAAGATATTACATAATGAAACTCATTCTCAAAAGAAAAGCTATTTTGAGAAATGTCATAGATACCCTAGTACGTATTAATAAAATATGTGTAGGAGGATATAAATATCAAATTTCTTGCACGTAGGAAATTTTGGGGTATTTTTCTAGTGTTATGTTTGATGTTTGATATCACTTTTTTGCCTTTCCATTACTTTTAAATTTCCTTCCTCTTCCTTTTCTTTCTTTTTTTAATTTTTCTTGTTTCTAAAGTATTAAATGCGCATTATAGGACATTTATAAAATGAAGATTGAAAAGAAGAAAATAATCTCAATACCCGTAATACTTTAGCATGTTTTCTTGTACTTTTTCTATATAGTTTCAAATAATTAAGATGATGTTTAAACAATTTCATATACTGTCTTTTCCACTTATTAAATGAGCATCTTCTTATGTCACAAAAATCTCTTTGCTAACATCATTTTAATTGCCACATAATACTCCTTCATATGGATATATTATAATTTACAAGATGTATTTTATTTTAAAATAACCCCAGAACCATCTTCTCGTGTAAGGCAATATGGACCAGTTTTTGGAGCATGGCCTCTGGTGCCAGACTGGTTGGATTTGAATCCTCATTCTACACTTTACCAGCTGAATAATGCTGGGCGAGTCACTTACCCTCTCTGTCCCTCAATTTCTTCATCCATGAAAGAGAATAACAATCCTACCTCCCAGAGTTGATGTGAAGGTTATCTGAATTACTATTGCAAAGTGTCTGGTGAATAACAAATATCACTTAAATGTTAGTTATTATTATCTATCTACATTTCTCATTATTTTCTTGGTGCTACTATATGGCAGTAGAATCTATGAGTCAAAGAATACATTTTGCACATGATAAATGCATACTGCCAACCTGCGTTCCAGAGATGTTGTAATAATTCATACTCCCTCAACAGTACAAGAGAATATTCATCTGCCACACCCCGACGCAAGCACTGAGCATTCTCATTCTTTAAATCTAATTAGATGTTCAAATTGGTAAAATGGTATCTTGTGGTTTTTTAAATCTGCATTTCTATTTGCACAAATGAGGCAAACTATTAATCATGTGTTTTTTAGCTATTTTATTTCCATATTTATGCACTATCTTTTTACGCCTTTTGCCAGTTCTTAGATGCTTAGTGTTTTTTCCAAATTATTGTTTAGTTTATCTTTTAATTCCTCTTTTGATGTTTTAACATATGGAAAAATTTATATTTATGCAGTCAAACCTATCATTCTTTTGCTTTGAGATTTTTCCATTACTTTTACATTTAGAACATTCCTTTCCCCTTAGTGGTTAGATAGATATTTATATATTTTTTTTCATTTTTATGGCTTAAATTTTTTTACTTTTAATTATTTTCATCCATTAACAATCTTCTTGTTTAGTATGAAGATAGGGTCTAACAACTTATTTTCCCCAAATAGCTACTAATGACTTCTCTATCATTAATTAAATGGTCTGGCTTTCCTTTACAGTTTGTCGATACTGTAGTTATAATGCACAGGTCCTTCCCCAGCACTCTGTGGAAAATCTAACACAACATGTTTGCTCGAATGCAAATACACACCAGCAGGCATGCACACGCACCACACCTCTCTCTCTCTCTAATCTCCCACCTTGCTTTGTTTTTCTGTTCATACCTCTTATCACTAACTGACGTACTATCATTTTGTGTCTGTTTACTTGCTTATTATTTGCTGAATCAATGAATGCATTAAATTCATAAAATATATACAGTTTGGAGTCTTAGGTGACCATCCGATCCATTGTTATATCCACATAGTCTACCTGTGAAGCGCTTCTTAAATCATGACACCCTGAAAAGTATGTTTTAACAACTGCTGTTAAGTCTAGGGCACTCATTCTCACCCAGAGCTTGAAAAAACAATAACAATGCCTGGGTTCCACCCGGACATCTGGAGCACAGCCTGGGCATCCTAATTTATAAAAATCATCCGGGTGATTCTAACATGCAGCTGAGGTAGGGAGACACCGATCTAGGGAACTTATTTGTATACTTAAAAGTAAATTTAATAAATATATGTCCATATATATATGTATGTATATATGCACGTGTGTATATGTAGGTATGTACGTACATACACACACATACATAAAGAATACTCATAAACTTCCCCTAAATCACCCAATGGCACGAAGTGTTCTCTAAATGAAAAAGATTCTCTTGCAAAAATTGTGTGACCTAGGGCGAGGGTCAGATACATGCCGATCACTCTCTCTGAGCCTCGAGGTAGTGCAGTCCAAGGCCCCTCCACAGTGTCCGAATGGTCATCTCCCAAGCCCCTGGTTCTGCCTAACTGCCTTGTTTATGGACCTCACCCTGAGCAAAGTGACCATTCTCTAAAAAAAATAATTCGCAGAAACCTATAGTTATTAGGCCACTTCAAAGATCTTTCTGATAAGGAACCTGAGACGTGCCCAGGTGAAACAGTCAAGTCCAGATTATAGAGCTACACTGACCCACAACAAATAGGTGCAGATTGCCTCAACGCACATCACTCTCATTAGCAAACATATCATTGAGCACCTCCTAAGAGAAACTGCCCTGATGAAAATCATAATACCAGTGATTTCTTAAACACAATTCTTTGTCTACAGTGTTCTCTGCATAAGTGTTTCGCTCAGCCTTTGAGATGATAAAACAACCAAATGCAAAGGGAAAAAAACAATCTTGGACATACACACACACACACACACACACACTTCCACTCTTAAGAAAAGAAGAATTTACGTTGAATTAGGTTTCTTATCTGCAAGGCCAGGAAAATCATACCTTCTCATCATCCTTGTGACACAAATGTCTGCTGTTATTGTCCTTAGGCGTCCCCCACCTCCAGCCAAGCGTGACCTAGATCTCCATCCCTACCTCTCCTAGAAGCTGCGGGGTTCCTGCAGTCCTTGCAACTTGCCTCAATGCTTGCCTTTTCAAGGAAGCTCTCCAGCTGCTACTGCCCCCAACAACCTTGGGCCAAGCCTGCACCACAAGGAGTTCCCATCATTCCA